CCATGACCTGCCCTGCTGGGCTGGGCTGGCACTGCCCGCGACTTGCGGAGTCCTCTGAGACACTTTATTTACTGTTTGTTGTTGTTGTCATTTTATTTTGGCAGCACCCCTTAATGTAATTCAGTATTTCCAGTGGCCACGTTCCATCCTGGAAATGACACTAGACTAGAAGAGAAAGCAAAATCCTCATGGACCTGAAGTAGGAATGATTTAATTCCTTCCCACTGACTTTGCTCACTGTTGTAAAGCACTCACCTGTTGTAGCTGAGTGGTGGGAGTGTCTTAAATAAGCATCTCTAGAGGAAGGGTTTGTGACTGAATTGTTGGAGGTTTGCAGGGGGCTTTGGAAACCTGTGGGGAAATTCCCTGGGAAGGTTGAAGTGTGTGTCATCCTGGTGATACAGGGATAACACCCCTTGTTCTTAGTGTGTTCCAGAAATGTGCCATAATTAAAGGGAACATTGTCCCTTTTCCCTTTTTTCTTTTCCTCATTAAGTCAATTCATTTGTGGTGCTGGGACATGGAAGTGGCCCCTCTCCTGTCTGTCCTGGAACTTACCTTTACCCATTCCCAGGTGTTTGCTGGGAGGTGAGGAAGGGCCCAAGGTAAGCAGTGACTTTCTCAGTAGTTAATCTGGTTTTCCGCCCACTGAGAAAGTTTTTTCTCCACCCCAGAAAGTGCTCTGGTGTCTCCTGTAAAACTGGCAACATTATTCTCAGGTCTGTTGTTCCAAAATGCTCCTGGCCGTTTCTGCACTGATGTTACATGGTGAAAGTGCCAAGGAATTTTCTCCTTGGGCTCTTTGGTTTGAACAACCAACTGACAAGAATAATTGATTTTAATAGGAGCTAGGACTTTCACCTGGAAGACAAACCGTGTTCAGGGTATGTCAGACTGAATGTACTTGTCACCTCCTGCATTTCTTCTCAGTGCCTCCCTCTTCTCCTGGGTAGGACACTTTGCCCAAGTATCTGTGTCCTCATTGTAAATTTTCAAGGCTGAGATTTTGTGAATTGTCCTGGTGGCCACAGAGAACATAACTCTATTTACAGCAACCTTCACCACACAGAAAACTGCTGGGTCTGGAAGAGTGCTGTTTAATATTTGACTATTCCTGTTGTGATTATTATGGTTAAATGCAGGTCTTTGTTACCCCGTTTTAGCAATGGACAAATTGTAGCTGGGACGAATGTAAGATGTTGGAAGTGCAAACTTCTGCATCAGCCAGTTAAACACAGAGAATTGTAATTTCTAGGGCATGATTCACCTGACTGGAAGGCGGATGGCTGAGATAGCCCAGATGAATCCCACTCCGTACGTGTCTCTTCACTGGTTAAAAAGGAGTCCAGATGAGTGGTCTGACCTGCTGTGTGGTAACACTGTGGGAGAAAAGTTCCTTTCAAGGTCTTTTGGCTCTGACCGCAGCACTAAGACCTGGCTTTGAAACCGAGAGACGTGAACTTTTTGGAGTGAAGAGCTCCTGTGTTGAATTCTCTCAGAAAATAATATTTCATTCTGACCTTTCTCCAGTTCATCATCTCCTGCTGCTGCAGATGTCAGGTCCTGTCTCCATATCCCTGCCCTGAGAGAGCTGGACAGCTCCACAGATGCAGCAAGATGTCTGGCAAGATAAATTAAACTGGATTCTCTCAATGGACTTAGCACGTGAGGGCTGGAACTCCAGTTCTGCCATCCCACCACCATCCTTTTTTTACAGGCTGAGCTGTGTTTCCATTCTGAAAGGCTCAGGCTTGCTTGCAGGATTCCTGGCACGTGGATCCCTCCTTGGGCCAACAATAAGGACCAGGGGCTAGGAGGGAACAGCCAGAGGGACCTTTCTTCTGTGGCTGGCACGAGGCACTGAGAACCAAGGCCTTAGAGCCTTCCTCCTTGAGATCAAGAAGCACCTTGCAAAGCCACCCCAGCTTCTGACATCCCCTGAAAGCACCTTTCAGAGCTCTGTGTTGACAGCAGAAAAAGGCCGAGGTGTCACCCCCTCATCCCTGTCTGTCCCTCTGCAGTCCCTGCCAGCCCTCAGAGCTGGGATTTTGTGCCTCGGGCTCGGAAATGCGTTTTTGCCGAGTAGGCAAGGAGGGTTTAAAACACAGTCCCTCTGAAGTTTGGTTTCGGTGACGTTTCTGTGGCAGTTTGTGCCCAGAACTGCCTGTGTGTGAAGTGACAGCAAAGTCTATGTCAGCTGAAGCAGAAACAGCAGGAACAGGGCTCCTGCATAACAGCTCCATTCCTGGTTCCTCATCACTGCAAAACGGACTAAAATACCCAATGGCATTAACAAAAGGAGCAAGTGTCAGGCCAACCCGAGTCATTTTTTGACAAGAAAACTGATTTTCCAGCCAAAGAGAATGTACCCTGCTGCATTTACTTAGATAAGCTGAATACAAGATCCCAGTGAGCCACGGGTGGAAGGTGGCCAAGGGCAAAGGGGGACATGTGAGGTATTACTGCAGGATTTCTGTGACGCTGGAATAAATTTTTCATGCTGTTTCACAGATCTCTGGTAAGGTCTCTTTGGGAATAGTATTTACAGTTCTGGTCATCTGTGTTCAGGGAAGATGCAGGGAAAGTACCTGGATGCCTGAAAGGGCTGGTGGAATGCCAGTGGGGAAGGAAGAGCTCTGGACCAGGACAGGGCTGGAAGGGCAAAACTTGCTTAACCTGGATAACCACACTTGGACAGGGTCCATAAATACAGAACCCTCGATCTAGAGCAGAGCAAGGGGTGGTGAGGAAGCACAGAAACATGGCACTACCTTGATCTGAGCACTCAGATGTAGCACTGGAATCAGAAATCAATCTCTATAACTGTTGTTTCTCCAGGTGTAGTTACCCTGCTTTGCTGAGCCAGGGCCCAGCACGGGGGGAACTGGGGGTCCATCACCATCTGACTCCAGGTGCCGCTCATTGGGATGGGACCCTCTGGTGCCCAGCTGTTTCCAGCTCTGTGTCCAAAGCCCAGGCACAGGATAACCCCATGCTAAAGCAGGAGATGCCTCTGCCATGACTTCAACCGTGAGCTGGGTCCATTGCTTGACTCTTCAGTGAGAGCTTGTCACTGACCTGTGTGTGTGTTTGCTGTCTGATGTCAGGAGATCTTGTGAGGCTCAGGTGTACAAGTCCCCTGTGTGATACAGCCATGTTTCTTTTACAGCTGATTTTGAATTAAAAAAGGATGATTTGTCAAAATGGAAGTTGGAGGAATATTATTTTACTTTGCTACAGGAACAAGAGGGGCCCACTGCCTAGGTCTGTCTGGGTTTTGAGGACGAAAGTTAAGCCTTGTAGATCTTGCTGCATTATGTACAACTGACTAATAACTGAAGAGCTGGAAGTGCAGCTCTGATTGTCCCAAACCCAAGGAGCTTGATTTCTTAAAGGAAAGCCAGTTCAAGGCAAATGGTAAATCAGGTCTTTTAATCTGTTGACTGGATTGCCTGTAGGACACGAATGTCCTTCTCTTTTTATGCCAAGAACCCTCAAGCAGTGCTAGAAGGTTCCTTTCTAGCAAGCTCTCAGTGTGCAGGTAGTGATTAGCAGGTGTTTTGGAAAGCCAGACTTAGGAAAAAGCCATTAAGAGCTCTGTAACCGTTGCTTCTACAGTTGCATAACCTCTGTGATGGGCTTGTGTGCTTTGTGTTCCCTGCCTGAGCTGACAGGACACTGTGGCTGGAAAAACTTCACCACGTGGAAGGTCTATAATGGTCTGTAATAGTCCAGTGCTGAGCTCTGTCCCTGTGAGCTGAAACTGTGACTTGGAGGCAAACCCAAGTCCGTGTTCAGGGCGTCTCAGTGGCAGAATTAATGAGCGAGGTTCAGGATGGCCCTGACAGGCTAATAAGCATATGGGTGAAGTGTGTGTTTGCTGAGGCAGCCTCACTGCTCAGTGCAGAGTTCCTGCAGTGGGCAAAACACAAACACAATTTACTATTCTGTTAAAAAATACTCAACTGCCATTCAGAGGAGCAGTGGGTGTCCCGGGCATGGATGGATGGTTTCTGTGGAAGCACAAGCAGCAGCGTTCGGATCAGTCCCTCCTGCCAGCATTCAGCAGGAGTTTCATATCTATCACAGCACTGAGGCTGACAGAGCTCAAGAAGGGTTTGGGTGATACTCTGGGGCACAGTGTGACTCTTGGGGATGGTCCTGTGCAGGGCTGAGGGCTGGACTCGATGACCCTTGTGGGGCCCTTCCAGCTCAGCACGTTCTGTGGTTGCGTGTGATTCTGTGAAACTCGGTGGCTCTCAGTGCCATGGTGCTGGCCCAGCTCTGAGGCTCGACATGGAGGGGTGTTCCGTAGGTTCTGTCAGACACCAAGGTGGGCTCAGTACAGTTTCCAGCGGGCAGGTCTCTGCACTGTCAGCACAGCCAGTGCCAGCAGGTTTCCCTGAGCTGGCTGTGCCCCAGGCCAGGTCTGGAGCAGGTCATCGAGGTGCCACTGTGCTCTTCTGAGCTGCTGGAGAGCTGGAGGATGTCAAAAACAAGGGATGTCAGTACATCACCAGCACTAAAATGGGGAACTTCCACTTTAAAAAAAAAGTGTTCTTCTAGTTACATGTGCTGCCTTTCCTTGGATTTGCATGGAAAGCCTCCTGAGCCTCTGACATTCCGACCGAGCAAACTTGCTCTGAAGTGAGAATTCCTTTGCAGGAGGACACTATCGCTTGGTTTTGTTCCATTTTTGGGAACTGTGTATTCTGCTGGTGGAACTGTCCCTGGAAGCCATGTCCCTGCCAGATGTGCATGCTCCTAACACAGCGTGGTGGTGGGAAGGAGGTGGTGCTGCTGTCCCAGGAGCTGGGACATTGCCCGGTGGGGAGCAGGATGGTGGGCTGTGGAGCACACGGTGTGAGGGTGGCATTACCATGGATTGGGATGAGGGCAACTGTTTGCCGTTTTGCTGAGTGCTTTGCTGTGTCTGTGCTGTGCACGTGAGAGTGCTGGGGATCAGGGCATGCATTGACTATGGTTTTCTGTTTCCCAAGCTGATCAGTGGTGGTTCCATTGTAAGTGCTGAGGCAGTATGGGATCACGTCACCATGGCCAACCGGGAGTTGGCGTTTAAAGCAGGAGACGTTATCAAGGTCCTGGATGCTTCCAACAAGGACTGGTGGTGGGGTCAGATCGATGATGAAGAAGGATGGTTTCCAGCCAGCTTCGTGAGGGTGAGTGACTTTCCTCTTTTTCCTGCTGTAATGAATCACTGCTGATTAGAGCATCAAGGAACTGAGTTGTTGCTGTGTTTGTTCTGCTTAATTCCACTGTGTCTGTCTTCTGTCAAAAAATGGGGAGCAAGGAAGGTTTCAAAAGAAATTAGAGGGGTAGAGGGAGGCTGGAATAGGTGTTGGCTCTGGTTTTCTATGCTCTTGGGATATGAAGTGGCCTTTGCTATGTGTCTATTGTAGCCTTTCTTCTTAAGCAGTTCTTTGTAAAACCAGTTCAGTTTTGTGGTGCCTGCAAGTATATGGTTTGGTGGGGCTTAGAAGTTCACCAGGCTACAGGGGATGCCCTTGGAAATGTTCAGGGCCAGGCTGGACTTGGAGCAACCTGGTCTAGTAGAACATGTCCCTGCTCACGGCAGGGGGTGGAACAAGGTGAGCTTTAAAGTCCCTTTAAACCCAAACCATTCCATGATTCTGTCATCTAGATGAGCTTTGTGTGGCACAGGGAGGTGTCAGCCCTCCCCTTTTCCAAAGCGCTGCTGCATTTTGACTCTTCAGCAGTTTTGGATGTAAAATTACTTCACCAGTTAGTCTGTGACCAGCTCTGGTTATTTTTTTAAGGAGATAACCATTTTGTCTCTGTTTTTCTGCTGTAGTAGGTTTTCTGTCCCAGCCATCCCCAGTGATGATCCAACCTTTTAGAAATAAGGAGGATTTGAGCATTTAATGGGTTTTTTTTGCTCACTATGTGATAAAAGTGCAAAGGGTTAAGAAGATGCCCTTTCTGCTATAGTCAGCTCCTATCACATTTATTTGGGTGCTCCTGAGCCTTCCTCAGGGAGTCAAGATGTCACCTTTGACCTACTGCAGTTCTCTGTCCTCTCTCTTCTGCCGAGGGTTCAAGAGGCAGGATCAGAGATTTAATTCCTTTAGAAGCTTAGGAAATACGGTCCAAAAAATGAATCACAGAATCAGCCGGGTTGGAAAAGACCCCTGAGATCATCCAGTCCAACCCTTGATCCAACCCCGCCGTGGTTCCCAGCCCATGGCACTGATGCCACATCCAGTCTCAACTTAAACACCTCCAGGGACGGTGGCTCCACTCCCTCCCTGGGCAGCCCATTCCAGTGTCTGATCCCTCTCTCCATAAAAAATTCCTTCACAATATCCAACCTAAACCTCCTCTGGCACAGCTGAAGACCCAGCCCTCTTGGCCTACTGCTGCTTCCTGGGAGAAGAGCCCGACCCCCACCTGGCTCCCCCCTCCTGTCAGGGAGTTGCAGAGAGTGAGGAGGTCTCCCCTGAACCTCCTCTTCTCCAGGCTCAACAACCCCAGCTCCCTCAGCCTCTCCTCACAGCACTTGTGCTCCACTCCCTTCCCCAACCTCGCTACTCTTCTCTAGAGCTGCTACAGCCCCTCCATGTCCTTCCTGAGCTGAGGGCCCAGAGCTGGACACAGCACTCCAGGGGTGGCTAAGAAATCACAAAGATTTCTTTTGCCTTGTAAGATTGTGTGAGATGTGACTCTTTCCCACCCTTCCAGGCCATTTGACGAGCTTGGTAGTGGCAAGGGGAGGACTGTTCTCCCTCAAACATGCACTGAAGACATTCTGCATCCCAAGGAGATTCTGTGTTTGCTTTGGTTCTCTGCCTGTCTCACCTTCTTCTCTGAACCCTCCCTCTTCTGGGCATCCCTGAATCGTCAGCATCTCTGTGTCATTGATCACTTCACCTGGGAAATAGCCGCGGGGATTAGGAAAATTGGGTAAAAATGTATAATGTGGTTTTTCCTCTGGTGTTACAGTGACCACCAACGAGGAACTCAGACCTTTGCTTGCTGCTGCCTCCCCAGCACACAATTTTGTCCCCTGTGATAGTCAGGGTGCAGCTCTTGGGTCTCTCCCAGGACCGGCCAGTGCCAAGAGCAAGAGATCAGTGGCTGGAACTGGAGCCTGGGCTGCCTGAAAAAGTTTATGCTGTTATTCTTTCCCAGAATAATAACAATTTTGTGAGTCTGGCCCTGCAGCCAGTGGAGGCAACAAGTCTGGAAAATGGATTTGTATCAGGTGTGATGGAGGTGAAAACCTTCCTGCAGAAACACTCCCACCTGTGTCCCTAACACATCTCCTCTGCTGCAACTGGAAAGGCTGAACAAGAACAATCTGTCTCATTATTTTTGCTTGATTTAGAGACTAAATGTTCTGGGCCAGTTTAACTTCTCAGTGCATTGACCATTGCTGTTTTCTTTGTGATTCTGGGGAGAAGATTTACCCCGCCTTTTTGTGTGATGTCATAAACATCCTGTTCGCAGGAGGTTTGAGAATAGTCTGCTTTTGCACTGCCCTGTTTTCTGAAAACACCACACTGAATGAGCAAGTCCCAAAATTATTTTGAATATTGAATGAGCAGCTGAATGAGCAAGTCCCAAACCCATGGATCATTCGACTTGGCTGAACTCTCCATCTCTCCCTACACTTTTCAAAGGCTGGGAGGATGGGTTTAGAAACTGAGAAAAACAAAGGAGACGAATGAGTGAATCTCAGACTGTTGTATACAAGTGTATGATCGACGTCCTGGAGCAACCCTTGGTGCTGAGCATCACGGTGGCCTTGCCAGGCAGGTTTCTTGCTCCTTCTGTCTAAAGTCACAACCCTGTGGCTTCACTTTTCTCCAGTGAGATCAATCCTTCCGTCAGCTCTGCCAGGGGCTGGCTTGGCTATTCCATGTAGGAGACACTTGCTGAGGGTGGTCTGGGACCAGCCGCTGCCCTGAGACAGACTGATGCACCCCTGAAGGGGAGCACTGCCTGGCTCTGCTGCCCTGAGTGAGAATAATATTTAAAAATAAGAGCTTTGGCCCATTTTGTCCACAGGTCTTCAAGGGAGGCTGGAGGGGAAGATTTGCCCCCCGGGTTTCCAAAGCAGCTGAATAAGAACTAAAAGAACTGAGAGAAGAGCAGCTGATCTCTCTTTCATCATGAGGAGGCTGGGTTTTTCTCTGTTTTATTTTGAGCCATGATGCCAGAAAACTGCCTGATTTAGCCTGGGTGGTTCTAGTTTTACTTGCAAAATAATTGCTTTTCTTTATATTTCTCTTATGCAAGTACCAGGAGGAAAAGAGAACAACAGCATGTTGAATAGCAGAATAGGAATAGCATACAAGTGAAGGATGTCAGACAGACTAGGCAGGTATAAAAACAAATAGGAATAATTTTAGGATATTTTAGACTTCAGGACTCTTGTAAGTACTAACAGTGACTGCAGCAGAAGATCACTGCCCAGTTGGGTTCCTCTGAAAGTCCTTTGGATCACTTCTGAGGACAAAACTGGGCCGCAAACCTAGTTTGCAATGAGATGTCTGACGCTTCTTGCTCTCCAGCCAGATCATCTGAAAACCTTTGGCAAAGCACTTGGCACTCACGAAATCTCATAGCAGGAAACTTCACATTTGGAAGTGGAGAGGAAAACAGGAACCTGCTGATTCCCTTGGCCTTCTTTCCACACAGAGTCAGGGGGTGGCACACAAAAATTCCCTGCGCATGCAGGAGTTGTTGTCTCCATGCTCACACCTGCAGTAATCCTCTCGTAGCTTGAGACTTGGCTGGAAGAAAGGGGGAGAGAGGAAAACCATAGAGTTTTGGGAGCACAACAACTCTCAAGGAGAAAGTGGATGATAAAGCAGTGCTTTTTGGGGAAAAGAAAAAGCACAACATAGGAGAAGCAAAATTTGGAGTTAGTAGGGAATGGTCATTGGTTTCTGCAGGGAACTGCTGCACTCAAGGAGAAGGTTATGAAAACCCATGAGTCAGAAAGGGGGATAAGAACTCCAGAACTAAATTTAAGGCTCAGTAATGAGCTGTTTAGGACAAGTGAAGGTATCTGTGTGTATTTTAGTGCACATTATCCAGGGATCCTGGGCACCCACAGGGTGCAGCCGTCAACCCCATGATTACTGCATGTTGTATTTGAACGTCCTGTGAACTTCAAGTGGTCTGGAAGGTTGGGAGGTGCAACTGGAAAAACCAGCAGGAATTTTAAACAGGAATTTTAAACTTCCCGTTTAAAACTGTGGAGGACAAAACCCCCATATCCTAAGTTGTAGAGTTGAATTTACTGGTCTGTACCCTCTGAAAAGATTAGAAATGAAGTTAAACTTGATTCATCACTAATTCATTAAGGTAACTAACTGGGTTGATATCACTTACATACAGTGTACCAACTAAAACTCCTATTTCTGGGAAGCACAGGATTCTTAAAATTGTTAATACAAGTATTATATATATATATATATATATATATATTTGCATAGCAGCACATCCAGCATTGACATGTGCTCAAAAAAATAGGCTTAGTGTTGGTAGGGAGGGATTTACAGTACAGAGTAACAGTGCTGCACATGGATCCATTGTTGTACCTTGAGGTCTTCTTTAGAAAACACAGTAAGTCTCAAACCAAAATTTTGCTTGCAGAGCCCCACATCATCATCCCAAAGGGCCCAGGTGAGGCACTCCAAGCACAGGAAGTCAAATGGCTTTGTGTTTGGGCTCTGATATATTTCCACTGAAAAAGAAATAAAACAAGTGAAGCTCATGAACGTTTAGTGCAGTGGAATCTTCCTGCAGAGATGTGGCAGAGTGTACCTGTCCTGGGCAGAGGGGGGGATTTATTCCTCTGTAAAGCTCTCTTTAGTCTTCTTGGATCCAAGAGGCAGACTGAGTTTCCAGAATGTATTTCTTCTCAACTCATCAGCAGTGAGTCTACCTTCCTTATGTTAGGAAGCCAAGGTAAAGAGCAAAGCTGGAGCTGAGGAGGTTTTACTGCAGCTTCATGCAGTGCCTGAGTTGTTGTGCAGAAATGAAGGGTCCTCCCAAGGCCTGAGCAGGGAGGATGTCTGAATTCTTTGTGTGCTGTACCTCTTCCAAGAGAAGATGCAGGGGTGGAGGAGGGCAGCACCATGTTCTCTCTCACCATTGCCTTGGTTCCCTCAAGTGTTGTAATTTTAGA